GTAAGACAAATTCAGACTTCTTTGTTGTTGCTACAATTTGGACTTGAAAATGGCCTTATTAAATCTTAGGCTCGATATGAAAGTTGTAAGCCTATATCTTACCTTTACATTCATATAAAGTAGACCTAAATCCGAGATCTACAACTCTAGATATGACCCAATTACCAAACAATGTTCTAGTTTGGACTGCACCAGCATCTCTTTTCTAAGTTTAACCATCTCTTTGTTCTTTCAATTTTAATTCTTAAACTCGTCAATCAATCCTTTCATTTATGTAATAGGCCTGCATTCAAAATGAATATTTACCATAAATTAAAGGTATCTTATATTATTAGATATGTTATTATAAAACATACTTTAGTTAAGGAGTTATTGATACTTCAAGTACAAAATGATGATATAAAACCTTGATAAAAATACACTTTTAACTACTAATCATAAATCTAATATTATTTTATTATGAAAGGTTTAAGACTAAAAGTTATCTATCTTGATGTACTCATCCACTATATCATTATTTATATACAAATCTTTGAGTCTTTATATATTAGTTAAGATAATTTTCATTCATACAGGGAAATTTTTAGAAATTTGTTTTAAGAATATAGTTAATAGGCACATTCAAACCAAATTAAAAGTGGGGTCTACTGACTTTTAAAATTAAATTTTTATTAAAAGTTATTCTCAAACAAAAATTTTAATACATTAACATAATTAAAAAAATATGAGTGAATGAGAAACTAATCTCAAAAAACTTTTAGTTTGTATGTTTTTATGAAACTCAAAAACCTTTTATCCTCTATTGAAAGAATACAAGATTTCCTTATAGTTTATATAATGAGAAGTTAAAGAGTTAAAAATGTACTCGTAGAGCACTAAAACTTTTAGAGAGAAATGGACTAAGCAAAGTGAATTTTAGCCTTAAACTACATACGTGCTTGCTTGGCTTGGTTGAGCTTAGACTTAGGTTATGAGTCTTTAGGTTTGGGCCTGGATCTAGGTTTAATGTAAAATAATTTTTATATTATAAAAAAATATTTTTTATTAGTATATTTTAAGCTTGAGTTTAGGGATGTTATAAAATAATTCTTTGACTCATAAAGAATTATTTTTTACCAATCCATATATCTTAGCCAACCCATTAATAAATATTCTTAATAGTAACCTTCTACCTCCTAAAGAATTTTATTTTCAAAGTAAAAATATCTAGTTTTTAAAATGTAAATTGTTAGGTTTTTTATTGAGGTAATTAAAGAAAAATGATAAGAACTTTTTCCAATAATTACCATTATTAATTCTATATCAATTTTAGTTTCAAAAATCAATAAAAAAAAGGGTTGAAAGGGAGATCTTATACACACCTTTCAGTAGCTCATCTATCTTCTTCTTAATAGTTTTTCAACTTATTTTGCCTTACTCTGGCTTTGTTTTCCCTCCATTCTATAAATTATGTTATAGTCATTTATAAAGAGATTTTGAGTTCATTGTTTTTTTGGTTCTTAGACTTTCAAAAGAAGCAGTTAAGTTATTGAAATTCTAGAATGCTATTTGTAAGGAGATCCTTTGCACCAAGTGATGAATTTTTTAATCTTAAGGATAAATGGTTTAACCTTGAGAACATCTTTTTTACATCATCCAGTATCAATAATTATATATATTTAATATCTTCATTTTTTTTAGTTGAAATATAATATCTATTTTTTATATATATTAGTATACATGCTAGGACATTTATTGATTAAAATGCAAATATTCTATTATTTGCATAGTACACACTAGTTTACCTCTAGTATTTTTGTTGTAGATTGGACCTAAGTTTTTTGAACTGTAAAAAAAGTATATCTAGACTATTAGAAGTTTTTCATTATTGTTATTAAATTCAGTAGAACAGTTCAAAATTTGAAAAATCTCCACCTAAATCTTTGATTAATATTTAGCTAACCGATCAAATTGATAATCTAGGTTAAAGAATCCACTTGGTTGAATTTTTTTTTTTAAATGATAAAAATACAACTAGTGATTTATCATCAACCTAATAAAGGATAAAACTCAATAAAAAAACCTCACATTAAATAATAGAATTGAAAAAAAAAAGAAGAAAAAAAAGAAGCAAAAGATACATACAAAAAAGATCTCCACTCAACTCTTTAATTAATACTTAATCAACTTGTCAGACCCATAACTTAAATTATGGACTTCACTTAATTAAATTTATTTTTTTTATAAAATAAAAAATAGAAAAATTAATTTATTGTCAACTCAAAATCAAAGAATAACATTCAATAAAAAGCTCACTCTAAATGATAAAATTAAAAAAATCTAAAACCTAGTCAAAAAAATCTCAACCTGACTCTTTAATTAATATTTAATTAATTTGTAAAATTTGTTATTTCGGTTATAGTCTCTACTAAGTTGAATTGATTATTTTATTATACAATAAAAAAAATACAAAAATTGATAATAAAAAGAAAGGATGGGGAAATAAAAGTAGCACGTTTACCCATTAATTTTTTATGCCCTTCTTCTTCTTCTTCTTCTTCTTTTTTAATGTTTGTTTTAAATCAAATAGTGCTCCTAGCAGAATTGAAATCCGCAACCTTGTGTGGTTTAGCCCATGAGCTAATTAAGACACTACTTTACTTTAAAATACTTGAATAATACATCAACTAGATCCATTGTTAATATGAAGAGTCAAACAAACTCGGCCTGTTTTAGTTATATTTATTTATAATACTTGGATTTTGTTTAAACTCTTTTACAAGCTTATGTTGTCTTAATATATTATAAAATCACATGCAATCTTTCCTAAATAACTGCTACTAATTAATGAAAATATCACCAACAAATATTAGATGTCAAGAAAATATAATTGATACGGGGTTTGATCAGAAGGAACATACGCGTAAAGAATACAAGATTTTTCTTGACCATGAGAATGGAAGAATCTCTTTTTATTTTATGCACAGAAGAATCTTTTTTATATGTTTTAGGCTTAGTGCCTCTTTGATTGGTTGAATGCGTCATGTATTTTTGGATTGTTGAAGTTTTCTTCTTCTTCTTCTTTTTAGAAAATATCAAGAAGAAGAAAAGCTTTTAAAGTATGTTGTGACAAGCCACAAGCCATATCTATTGATTTAACTTTCAAGAATAAAAATCAAATTCATCCTTGAAGAGGGAGAAGAAAGGCAACTACAGGATAAAAGTTTTACACAAGTGAAATTTATCAATTTAATGTAGCCACCAAGAAAATACAAAATATAGTGAAACATATTACTAATCGCTGGCTAGGAAGTCTTCCCTCCTTGGTGAAATGAGCATGGCTGGTGTTATTCATGCTTATATAATATAATATAGGCTATGAATGTTGGAATAGTGTCCTCAAGGTTGTTTTGAAAGAAAGAGGCCATCCAGCATTTTTTCACACTGCCTCATGAGTTCGTAAAGCAAATCAGTGGAGAAGAGTGGTCGTTGCATAACCCTAGGCATGGAGGAAAAATGAAAGGAAGTGCCTGTCCTCTTGTTATGCTTCTTCACTATCTTGACCAGCCCTGCATGTATAGAATTCAAAATCATTAAGTGGCAATTAAAACTTGGCAATTTGATGCGCCTGTAATTGGTCAATAAAGCTACCTGTCAAGTTCATATTCAGAGGTGGAGAGGAACGAAACGAAAGCGGTGTATACCTGTGAAGTTAAGGACACCGTAATGCAGTAGCAAAACCATCTCTGCGTGAAGATTTAATATGTCCCTCTGCACCTGCAACTTCTCTTCATTACGGTCCAAATTTCCAGCCCTCAGTTGCATCTCCTGCTCCATGCAAATCATTATCCAAGTAGCAACGATGAACTAACCATGCATGTTAGCAAAAGAAAATCTAAAAAGCATCTCTTTTTTATCGCAGAGAAAAGATGCAAGATAATTAAATACCTTCAATCGGATGACATAATCTTCCTCTTTATCAAAATAAAACGCGTTAACCTTGTTGAGTTCACTATGTAATAATCGGGAGAAGCCAATTCTCTCCCTGATATTATTATTCACATCCAAGAATCTGCCTGTGGCAAATCCTGACCGATCATCACCCATCCTTCTGTCCCTTGACAGCCGAGGATTAATCAGCTTCAACTGCTTCTTCAGCCCCTTGTAACAAATGAACTGACCTTTCCATTCAGGAAGGACTCTCTCAATCTCGTCGCGGAGCCTCTTTCGATACTTCATTTCTGGTGGTGAACAGAGCGAGGGGGGTGAGACTCATGTAACACCAATTATGCTAGTACATCCTTTGATGCTAGACCAAATATATTTGTTGTTTTTTAACAAGTTTCCTCAAAATAATCGAGACATCGGATATGTACAGACGTACATGTTTAATTTAATACAACATGTCTCAGAAAGCGACTGCAGATATTGTCTCTAGTCAGTCTTCCATGTCGCCTCTTCCTCGAAACAATCGAGAAACAGTTCTCATTATTTGGTTCGTGTTGTTTACAGAGAATCCGGATATGTTCATGGAGAAGTAATAACGTTTAATCCACCAATCCCTCTGCGTTTTATTTGAGGAATATGAGAACATAGATGATTCCAAACAATCACGTTTCTAAAGACAACCATTATTAAAGACTTTTCTACCATCAGGCACATTCTGTCGTTTCTGCTGCCTATTCTATTATGGAGCCATGTATCCAACAGACAACACACAACCTTGAGACTCAGGACAAGGCCATTACAAATATGTCTCCCAATCTATTAATTTCAATTACCCTGCAGAGTGCAGAGTAAACGATGAAACTACTGTGATGGTTTGCTAGACCATCAAAATAGATTCGAAATCCAGAGTTATTTGTTTCTACTCTGGCTGGAATGCTAATTTCTACAATGTAGAACAGCCTCCTACGCCCCTCCTCTTTCTCCATCAGATAACCATGCCTCACACTTGTCCAAACATGTAGAAAAGAAGATTGTGCTAATCAATGATTATACAATCACTGCGATCAACCAAAAATACAACTAGTCTCCTAGAATTCTTTTCAATTTATTTAATACATTGTACAATAGGTATTCAGATGTCTTAGAACAAGTCAACAACCATATCCTAGTTTCAATCTCTTTGGACGGTTTTGTGGCATTCCCTGATGTCCACTGAAACATTGATCCTGAAAATTTTAAATAGTCACATCATAAAAAGAAATCCAACAACCGAGACTTTTGAAGAGCGTTCCATGGGACAGACACAAACAACCAAGACTTTTACAATCTCCATTTAGCTGGTTGATTTTAAGAGCTTTCAGACTCAGAACTCTGTTGGAGGTTTTAATCTTGTTAGCCTTCTAACTCTTTCTTTGTCTGTGTTCTCCAGCAGTCCCTTCAAAGAATGGCAATGAAAATGAGTGTAAGGATAACAGGCAGCAAAGTCTATGTTTATTCATCTTACATGAATACCACTTGCGTTCTGACTTCAAATGGATTGCATGTAAGTCTAATTTTCTTGAACCTCACTCTCCATTTCTTCTCGCATTAATGGAAAACACAAATTGCATTCATATCAGACTATTAACACAGCTGCTATGCCACGTCAAATAAACAAACAGTGTTGGGAATCTACTAAAACATAAGGTTCCTTTTTGCACTTTTCTCATATCAAACTTAGCAGTGATAGCAGGCTTTTAACCAAACAGAGACTATTAAATATTGTACCATGATTGCAACAACAGACATGCTCTTGATCAAGATTTTATGAATCAATATATTAAACTTCTTGTTTAGGATGAACAAACCCCTGAAATATACCTTAGACCATTTCAAGTTTCTCAAAAGTTTTAAGGATAAGAAAGGCCTGATTTAGAAGCTTACCTTCCAAACAATTTCATCCAGGCACAAGCATATCTTTCCATACTTGTCGAGGAAGAGGCGCTCCGTAGGGGGCTTCCCACATACATCCTTTAAAGCTGATGTTATGGCGAAGATGACTTCTGCCACTAGTAAGAAAGCATCCAGGGATGAGAAACGGAGCATAACATATCATCCATACAATCAATCACATAAGAGGCTCAAAACCTTCCCAATCAATTGCTATTTCATCAACCACTTATAACACAAATTACATCCACAACCAACAGAGATGCCACCGTAAACAGGGGAAACCAAGGTTTCATGTATATTATTTTAATTAGTTTTCAGTGAAAGAATGGAACCAAACATTTCATTTTACTGACTTGCCAAAAAATAGAATAAAAAATAGAATACAATCTCAGACCCTGTCAGAAATTTTATGTCAAGAAAGAAGAAATTGACACACAGAGAGCAAGTCTTAAACTAAAAGGTGTAGCCCAGGGCTCACAAGCTGGATAGTATTCAACCTCAAAATGATCTCAGTATCAAGAAGAACCTTGTATCCTTGCACAAACAAGTATAGAATACTTGAAAGATAAAGATTTAACTTACATGCAAGTTCATCATACTCATCTTTGCCAACAATGAAAATGCTGACATCCCCAAGCACTGTGTAAACAATATAAACTGACCTGGCAAGAAAAATAAAACAACAGTGATTCGAGTATAATTCACTAAAAGGGAGAAAAATCCTTGTTCAAATTCTCCAAAAAATTAGAAATTGGTGTTATGCAACTTTAAAGACATTAAAATTCTATACTCTCACAGAAAAAGTAGAAGAGCTAGGAATAATAGTCCATGGCATTGTGGCAGCACTGCAACTTAACTTTCTGGGATCTACTTTTCTCCATCATGTAATACAACCATACAAGGGAAGGTTTCAGATACAACTGCCACGCTGTCTGAATAGTGACAAAAGACTTTTGTTTGGCAAGTAACATCATTATTTTGGCATTTTAATTAGTTCAGATTTCCTTGGTGAAACTTTTGAACTGCCTATTCGTACCCTAACCTAGATACTGGAAACAATTTGGTGAAGCTGACTCATCTGTGATATATTATGGATTGAATAATATAAGAAATATGGTATGCCCGACAGGCAACCTAGAAGTGGATTGTTGAAGAATTAACATTAACTGATCCATGAGTCATAATTTGCAAGAGCAACCGTTGCCTATACTATCCTGCAGAACTGCCTTTTCATATTATTACAGGTACACAATTTGCATTAAAGCGGACACAACTAGAATAAAATTTACAAGCTGAATAGCAACTATGGTTCCCCCATAGCAAACTGAATGTAGATGCTGTAAGATGAACAAATCCAGGATTCATAATTTGCAAAAACAAAAGTTTCATATATACATATATGCTGCACCACCATTTTAAGCGTACAGTTAACATGTATTATTCATTACACAGAAACCACCTCAAATAAATGTGAAATGCATGATCAAACAAACCATGAAAATGATAAGGAAGAAAGAAAGAAAACATGTTTCATTGAGTTCCATCTTTTAAGATGATTTTTAATTGAAAGATACAAAAGCAAGTAGTCATTTTCAACATAAATAAATCAAATTGGAAAAGCTCAATTTTTATAGCATTTCAATTTTCAACTCCCAATTCACATAATTAGCTAGCAAACAATTTTGTTGATAGCAAATAGGTAACAAAATCTGGCAGCAGGGAGCTCAAACATATGATACTCAGCAAAACCAACATTTGTGGAAGCATCATCTCTCAAACTGTACTGAACTAGCATTTTGAAGATAATGCAGAGATCCAGCTCTTGTAACACAATTTGCAAGGCTTTTAAGCAAAGGAGAAAATGAGGCACCAGGACATGGGAAATGAAGATCAATCAAACAGACAGTATACAATATATGCAATCTATATTCAATGTACAAGTAACACATGTCATGCATATTAAATCTACAACTCCATTTAGACATCAGAAGGGGTATTAAAAAAATTTCTAGAAACAAAAAAGTGTTATATATTTTGGGTACTTCTTGAATAAGAGAAAGGTTACACATACTTGTGAGAAGCAACAAGGAGCTCCTCGTTTCTAACTCCTTTTAGATTATCTGCCCCCAGCTTAACCAAGAAAGATCTCCAATGCAGCCGTTCCTCAGCTGGAACTCCACTAAACCTGCAACAATGTTAGAGTTCAACACTTAAAAAAACTTAAATTAGCACTAACCAAATTATCTTATGATGAAAGTCCTATATAACTAGACTTATTATCTTGTTGATTGAAATTTGAAATCCACAAGCGCAGCTGAAAAAACTCTTCTTTTTTCTCTTTAAAATGGTCTGATGTTATCTGAAAATGCACAACAAGTGTGGTCCTTGTGCCCAAAACACTTTCAGAACAGAAAATAGTGACTTCTCCCGTCTATGCATGAAGACAGACGTCTCTTATTTACTGTTGGCCACTATGGTTAGAGGACCTGATTAAATTGGATACTACTTTCAAAATGAAAAACAACAGTTGATGGCCTTGTTTGACTCAAAACTCATGTTTATTGTAGTTTTGTGCCCTAATATCATCAAACACTGTATCACATCATCTACAGCCACAATTCGTATAAGCAAACGAGGATCTTCTATGGGATCACCTAGAAATGATCTTGAGCTTTCAAATTTCCACTTGAAATAGACTCTCTCAATACTCAAGCCCGCGTAGTGTCACTTGGAAACCTAAGAATACATTAGCATTATGGGCTCATATGATTTACCAAGTTTATTTTCCTTAAACAATCATGGATTTAGTCTGCATTCAAATCAATTGCCTCACTCTCACCACAAGCAACACAAATATTCTCCAAGAACTAAATGCTCCCAATCACTTACAACTTCCCACTTCACAACAACACAAAAAAGACGCACATGAAAATAGACAAAAAAAAAAAATCACACCATCAAATGAAAAAAAATGGAAACCCTTGTACGAAAATTAAATAAATAAGACATAAATCCATTCAAATTCCACCTAATCAAATATACATGTATAAAGCCCAGAGACGAAGATCGATTAAATAAAACAATGAAACAGAAGTTCAAAAGTATCGATCTAGCGAGAACGATTCCGATTTTTAACGCGTACCGTTCGATTAAGATGTTGCCTTCGACATTTGCGAACAATACTGCAAGGATCATCTTTTTTTTTCCGGTAATATAAATTTTTGGGTCTCTTTTTATTCTCTGTCTTTCTTTTTTTCTTTTCTTTTCCTTTCTTCCGGTTGCGAATTGTGTTTTGACGAGAACCAAGCTGCTGCGTAGTTTAGCATTATGCCCCCTGTATTTTAAATTGATTCACAAATCACGCTCTTTGTTATTTTTGTTATTTTTTGTTTTATTGCTGTGTTTTAACAGCAGGTTGAATATAAAAGTTTTGAAGAGTTCAAAAAATATATTTAGAAAAATATTTATGTATTTTTATTAATATTTTATAATAAGTTATAATAATATAAACTTGAGAAATTTTATCTTAAATTTTTAATTAATATTTAGTCAGTATGTTAAACTTGTGATTTAAATTATTAACTTTGTTAAATTAAATTAATTTTTTATTTTATTATATAATAAAAAAAATATAAAAATTAATTTATTATCAACTGAATATTAAATAATAAAATTTAATACAAACAAACAATTTTTTTATTAATATTTAACCAACTCCTATATTTTTAATTTCACTAAGTTATTTTTTTTTTATTTTAATATATTATAAAATATATAAAATTAATTTATCATCAATCAAGTATATAACTGGATTCATAGTTTATTGATTGTGTTTTCAATGTGAGTGGGATGCAAAGTTTTTGAAATTTAAATAAATAATAACTAGATTGTTAAAAAAGTTTTGGCATTATAATGAAATTTTATTCAATAACTCAAATTTAAAAAATTCTAACTTGACTATTTATTTAATTCAAATTTTAAATTAAATTGTGTAAGAGTTGTTATAATATAATTTAGTTTACTAAATATATCTAAAGAAAAAAATCAATTCAATACTGAAGAATCAAATTAAATAAAAAAAACTTATATTAAATAATAGAATTGAAAAACAAAAATCTCAAAAAAAATGCTCCAAAATCCAAAGGAATTAAAATCCTCATATTTATTTAAAAAAAAAGAAAAAAAAATTAGGGGTCAAAAAACTTTTATTAAATAATATAAAATACAAAAATTAATTGACCATCAACACAATACTAAATGAAAAAAATTCAATGAAAACTTAACATTAAAACAAAAGGCCAATTAAAAAAAATCATGGGCATGTCATTAAAAAATAAAAAAAATATTAACATATAAAGTTCAATAAAAACTTCAAAGATAAAATTAAAAAAAAAATAAAACAAAACAAACAGGGCAAAAAACATATATTCCTGATTTAAAAAAAGTCAATTATTATAATAAAAATGAATAAATCTTATGTTATAAAATCTATAATTATATATATTGAATATCCATTAGAATTTTTTGGATTTCATAATTCTTAGGATTTAATCTCTTGATTTTTCATGACACTTAATTTTTCTAGTATCCTTTGATGTTTTCATTTTTTTCTCCATATATATATAGGCTACTTGTCATGCATTTTGAGTATTGAAAAATATATAATAAAATATGTGAATTTTTATTTTAAATTTTATTCTAGAAATATATATTCTTAATTATTTTTTATTTTTTTAACACGTTATCATCACAATCACTCTAATATATATTGAAATCTTAGAATGCATGAACTCTTATGTTACATGACTTGTATCAATTTTAATATTTTTTTTCCTTTCATTATTGTTTATAATTTATGGAATATATTTGGTTTTATAACTTATTTTAAAAAAAATTATTTCCTTTTATTCATTAAGATTTAAAGTTCTTAAAGAACTAGTATTGTAATTTTCTAAAAAATTAAACAAATTAAATATAGTTCTTGAAGAATATTTCTAAAAAACTAAATAAATATTAGTCTTCAAAGACTAATTTTTTTCCTTTTATATTCATGATATTTTAGTAAGTTATTTCCTTTTTATAGATTGATAATTTAAATTTAACAAAACTTGAGTTTACTACTCTTGATATCTCTAGGAATAATTATTTTTCATGAATTCTTGATGCCAAGATTTATTTGGATGTTACGAATCTTAGAGGGATCATCAAAGAAGAAAATAGTGCATGCTTGCAAGATCACACAAAAGTAATCATTTTTGTTTGTCGCCATCTCCATGAAAAATTAAAAGTTGGATATATCATAATAAAAAATCTTATTGTTTTATGGAAAAATATAAAAAACATATGACCACCAAAAAGTTAACATACTTCCTCAAGCTCGTTATGATTAGTTGCACTTGAGGTTGTAGAGATTTAAAATCAGTTAGTGAATATAATTCTACTCTTTTTAAAATTATCTCATAACTAAAATTTTATGGTAAAAATATCACATAAAACCAAATGTTAGAGAAAATAGTCTCTTCTTTTCATACCTTAAATATTGTCCTGCAGCAACAATATAGAGAATGTAATTTCATGAGGTACTCAAAACTAATATCATGTCTTCTTATGGTTGAACAAACTAATGAACTTTTGATAAAAAAAAAAATCATCAATCTCATCCTACATGTTCAAAATCATTTTCTAAAGTGAATGAAATCTTTGTCCAAGAGACAAGAAAGAACCAACGGTATACATATGGATAAAATAAATGAAAAAATAAGAGGAGATAATCCTTAAAAAGGCAACACATCATACCACCAAAAGTGGAGACACAATAAACCCAAGCAAGAAAAGGGTATGAAGTTGTATAAACCTAAAGATAATTGTCATAGGTGTGGTATGCATGGTTAAAATGGTGGTAAATGCATATCACATCTATAACACTTATCATATATCAAAATATTTTATAGATTTATATCAAACCTCTTTAAAACAAAATGTTGTTGAGACTAATTGTATTCATAAAGATGATTTTTGACACGACCATAAGATTGATGTCTTCTCCTAAGTGCAGGAGTGTCGAAGTAATAAATAACCCGGTAAGACCGGGGTTAAACCATAGAAAAGTTAATTGTATAAATTATAAACAACAATAATACAACAACAACAACAACAATAGTAATAATAATAGTACTAATAATAATAATAATAAAGAAGAAGAAAAAGAAGAAGTTGATGAGAACTTTGAGATGGAAGATCAATGTAAAGAGTAGACAATGATAACAACAAATGTCAAGGTTAGAGGATCCACTAATGGTATTTCAAACAAGTATAGTGTCAACTCTTATTACTCAAATGAAAACCATACAGAAAAGGAGGTTCCAATCAGATTATAAATTGTTAACATGATTACATTACTTATCTTATTTGAATAATGTTAATACTTGTAAATGTTATCAAGTATTCATGATTATAACTTATGTTAACAACAAACCAAGTTCTTTTCATAGCACAGGGGTCGATTATACCATACGGTTTGTGCTATGAAAGTGCCAAGCATTTGTGCTATGAGACACCCCTACAAGCTTAGTAACTCGAGTTGCAGATACTGATACATAGATAGTATAATGTTTGTTTCCCTTAAGCTTTTCTCCTCAACTCATATAACAAGCGTTCGGCTAATAGCTTCCAAGTCAGTTGACTATAGGGTATTAGGTGTTAAAACACCCCTTCGAGCTCAATTACTTAGGTTAGAGAGGTATGGAACCAAACTTATCTATATTTTTATTAATATTATTTTTTTTACTTTGTTTTTTTTTTGCAATTTATATACTATCTATTTCCTATAGTTGTTACCTATAACAAAAAAACATAAATAATGTAATAATCCAATGTGCAACCTTCAATCATATGTTAAAGTGTGTATGTGAAAATTAAGGTTTACGAATAAATGTTAAATGAGTATATGAGCAGAATTAAGTGATAACAATGTAAGAGTTTGTAAACCTGAATATTTCAAGAAGCATTATGATAGACCTTGTTAAGAATGGTTACTAAGATG